GCAGTTTTCTGTATTATCTCACCCTGTATTAGTAGAGGTTATGAAAACATGCATTTTTCAACAATTTTTACAAATTTAAATAGCTTTTCATTCAAAAATTTCAACTCTAAACTTGAATTGACAGTTCATTGTCTCAGCAGCTGTGTTGATGCGTCTATCATCAATGGTAGAAGAATACACATAGTCGCATCGACGCAGCTGGGCCAATAAACTGTCAAATAAATTTTGGAACTGAAAATTTTGAATAAAAAATTATTGAAATTTGTAAAAATTGTTGAAAAATTATGTATCTCCACATTTATCTATTCTGACCTTGAAATGTTTGGAAAAATACCGAGGCTCACGACAATATATTTTTAGAAAATCCTTTGGAACAATATTCAGGGGCATGATGGTGTATTTTAGAGCGTATTTAAGAAGAACATCCACTCTTTATAATTTGAGTGCCTTCTTTATAAAAAAATCGATTTAAGGGTGGAAGTACATAAAGCACATATTTGGCTGGCTTCATCGTAGATAAACAATGGAGTTTTAGGTTGACTCAGTCCGATATTGGCCCTAGGCTCCTTTTTCATTTTCGAAGAAGCCAGCCGATGACTTAAGAAGCCAGCCAGATAAGCGCTTTATGTATTCCAACATTAAGTCACCTCCACCCTGACTTTGACATTTAAGTACATTACATATCCACTTACAATAGCCAATCAATAGCAAATACTCAAATATTTCGCATTCCTTTCAATTGATATTTATAATAGCTTCCATATCAATTACTAGCAGTGAAAAAAAAAAAAAACAAAATATTTCCCTATTCCACAACTAAATGCCATATCTCACTCTCTGATCGAAAAGTATAAATAAAACGACAGCAACAACATCAATTTCTACAAACCATGACAATGAAAAGTAAAAATACGTTTTTTTTTTTTGCAAATTTCCATTTGCCACGAAGAAGAAGAAGAAAAGTGTCAAAAAGTACATCGCAATGTGAATAATTTTCAATTGGCTTTAATCGCTTGGCGCAAACCGCTTTAAACGAGATCACATCACACACAGTCAGTACGTCTGGTGGTTGGATCATATCATTCATGAGCACGGTCGTGCAATAATAATGCAGTGTGACGGTGCACTGGTGGCGGTAGTGATGTTACACTCGAAAGGGGTTCAAGTGTTTTGTATACAACACAACATTTCCGAAATAATAAACCAATGCACTCACTGGGCTAATGGGGGGATGTTTATGACACACACACAAGAGGGAAGCTATCCGAAAAAATCAGCTCCGAGGAGCATGTAGGTAGCTTTACTATACGTAGGCGCACACAGATGATTCTTAAAATGAAATCGGCACGCGATTCAATTGTCATCTCAATTTAAATGATTGTTGTCGGATGGTTGGATGGATGGCTCGTTGGCTGTATTGGAGGAAGAAGAGTTTTAGCGCTGTTTGTTTTTTTTTTGTTTTAGTTTCGAAAATGACCACAAAAATCCGACACTATTACCACCACAAGCCATTGTGGAATTCATTCATATGTACATAGAAATAAATATGAGATTTATCTCGTAGACATTTACCCGCTGAGTTGTCAGACAAATTGTTACTTTGCAGATTTAGTTACTTTACATGTTGTTGTTTGCGGGCGCAGGCCGGTCTGATAATTGTGGGATAGGAAAAAAATCGAATAGACTTCTTTAGAAATTGTACGCTTATGATTTACCAGATTAAATATATATATGTATATTGTCTAATCCATTGCATTTAAATCCTCACAAAAATGGTTAACCCTATTTAATTCTAGTGTAAACATACATAAATATCTTCTATATCACAAAAATGGTTAACCCGGCAAAAAGTTCTAGTGTAAACATACCATAAAATTCTTCTATATATATGAAGGCAATACCATATGTTTATTTTCTAGAAATTCATAGGGATCTTCTAAGAATATAAGATAAAGAATTGTATGCAAAAGATCTTTTAAATCCCTTTCTACAGGCCTTTTATGAACAATTAATCGTTTGGAAGATATAGAATTTTTATGAAAAAAACGCAACATTGGCACCACTACAGTAACGGCGTGACAGCGGTTTCTATATGTTTGTCGGCATAGGACAACATATGCTAGGAACACAATTGGAGCGAACGACGAATTTTTTCGCGGCGTATGTTCGTCGTCAAAAATAAAACACATATGTGTATATGGAAGTGCACACAATCACGGCACCGGCGAAAATTTCGTCGGTCGCCGCGAACTCAATTAGCTTTATTTCTATTTCATACGCCGGCGACCGGCGAACAAAACAGTACAAGGTGGCCATACTTGTACGAATTTTATGTGTTTTAGTAAATAAAGTTACTTTTTACTTTAAAATTTGTTATGGTCACTCTACTATCTGTTACTCGTATAAAAAAAACATAATTAATTTGTTTATTTATTTGTGTACTTGCGCCTGAGTGAAGATGGATATCAGTGAATTTATAATAGAGAAGATGGACATAAGTGAAATTATAATAGAGAACGCAAAGAATTATGTGTTCTTGTATAATTCATTGTAGTCAACAAATGAGCAAAAAGTAAACAACTTCATCAGCTGTTTTATAATTTCGTCGGTATTGTGTTCCATACGACGAATTTTCGCGGCTCATTTTGTCGCCGCGTAGGGCGAAATTCGTCGTTCGCTCCAATTGTGTTCCTAGCAATAGTCATCATAGTCATAGTCTATCAAATGGGCTCTTTCAAAGGATTAATCCATGGTAAAATTTAGAAGGTAAAACCATTTTAAATACGCATACCCATCTTCGCATTTTCTGTAATTTACCTCATCAAATTTCACTACTCTGATCTGTGTATGTAAAATGGATGAGATGTTGTCAAATGGATAATTTTGAAAAAAAATAAACATATGATTGCATGACATTACCTTCTTAATTTTACATCGATTAATCGTCTGGAAGGTATGAAAAGTTTATGAAAAAACGCAACATTGGCATCATTAAAAGGTGCAACTTTTACAGTAACGGCGTTACGGCGGCGTCAACATGTTTGCTGGCATAGAACAACATTGTTTACATGTTTTTGCGCCAAAATATGATAAACACTATAAGTTGAACAAAAAGAGAATTCAACAGCTTGAAATATTAAAACATTGAAACAATAGAAGTATTTAAATTTGAAGTCAAAATATTATACACTAAAGGTGGGCTGGCTTAAGTCATCGACTGGCTTCTTTGGAAATGAACAAGAGAGCATGGGGCAAAAATTTCCCAAAAAAAATTCAACAATATTTACAAATTTGAATAATTTTTCATTCAAAATTTTAAATTCTAAAACTGGTTTGACAGTTCATTTTTCCGTCGCCTGTGTCGAAGCGTCTACTTGTTTTCTTGAACTAAAGGCGGCGATATAAGAGCATTTTTTTCTGGTATGAATCACCGCCTGGAGGTTTCGTAAACCCCCAATATGAACTTCACCTTTGTTCTTGTCTTGATTTATTCCAGAAAAAAATCTTATAAATCTCCCCCCTTCAAAAGCAAGCCGATCTTGTCAGAAATGACCCTATTACATGGTTTTCTTTGGTAGGCATGTTTAAAATAAAGAAGGTAATGCATAAGCAGCTTTCCATGATGGCATGGCATATTTTGTAACAGTCGAAACCGCCGGCAGGATTCGAGTGCAGTACTAGTATCCAATTATGATATGTCATAAAATATGCCATGCGAAGACTTCAAGCTGCGTATTTTCCTCCTGCCGTGTTTTGATTGGGCTTAAGTCAACGGCTGGCTTCTTCGGAAAGGAAAATAGGAGCCTAAGGCCAAAATCGACATAAGTCAACCTAAAACTTCTTTGATTTTCTACGAAGAAGCCAGACGATGACTTAAGCCAATAAAAAAGGCGTTTTATGCATTCTCTCCTTTATAGCAAATTAAGTCGCAATATTTCCGATACTTCATACTCACCCTAGCTGCAGCTAAATTATATTTGGAAGCAAAATAAGTAAAAAAATGAAATGAAAATGACACCTAAAAGTACGTTTAGATTAAAAAATCGACTCGATCTTTATAGCGTGTACCATGGCAGAAGAATACAGGTAGATGCATCAATGCTTGGGAGCATTGATATGTCAAAAAAAATGTAAATGTTTTTTCAAATATAAGTAGATTTTTATATGTTTTCTTATACTACGTCATTCGGAGGCTATTATAATTCTCGTTTTTTAACAATTTTTACAAATATAAATAATTTTTCATTCAACATTTTCAATTTCAAAATTGGTTTGACAGTTCATTGTCCCAGCAGCTGTGTCGACGCGTCTACCTATATTCTTATACCATGGCGTGTACGTCAAATAATATTAACTGGATTTATGAATATGATTTACGTGACGTATACGCCAGGGTAGAAGAATACAGGTAGATGCATAAACGCTTGGAAACATTGATATGTCAAAATTTTTAGAATTTAGATAAATTTTAGATTTTTAAAAGTTTAAGTTTATACGACACCAATTTTAGGATGTTATGATATGCATTTTTCAAAATAAAATTGGTTTGACAGTTCATTGCTCAGCAGCTGTGTCGATGCGGCTACCTATTTTCTTCTACCATGGATTTACTAAAAAGACCCAACATTCATTATTGAAGATTTTTTAATAAAAAAAATGTTCAATTGTTCCGCATTTCCTGTAATTCACATTATCATATTTAGCTTCATTAAAAACAGATTCCCATCTCTGATTTGTTTATATACAATAGATTTATGAATATATCTTTTGACAATGATTTGTTGTCATAGGTATAAACATCTTTATTTTACCATGAATGATCAATGTAATTTGTTTATTTTGTCTTATGAATTCCTCGACTTAATACACTCCCCCATTTTAAGTTTAGAAATTTGAAATAAAATTTTCTTGAAAAAAATACATATGTATATGTGTCGGTCTGGTCTGTATATATTTTTTTAAGACAGATATAATTTTTTCTAGTTTTGGCTTTGAGGAAAAATGTTGCCAGCTGCCGCTCCAGCATTTCCCTCAAGTCACTTGGTTGACGGTTGGCTGCTGGTTAGTTAGTCAGCCCCTAGGCTAGTGATAATGTCATCTATTTTCTAGAGATTTATTCGATAAATATCCACTTAAGCATACGGTTGCTTGTTGCTGCTTCTCGTAAGAAACTGAACACAACACAAAACAACAAGAAAATAAAATCAAGAAATTTGAAACTGGCAAATTTCATAAAAAAATATAATACCAAAGCTTCCAATACAAAAAAAAAAAAAAAATAACGCACACAAACCGCAAAACTAAACTCAAACGAAAAGGAAAACGACGAACGGGCGAAATTTTAATTCAAAACGAAGGAATATTTTAAATTATTAAGTGTACTTAAAGCAAATAACGTAACATATCATTATGACTTGATGGGAAATAAAGTTTCTTGTGAGTCTATTGAGTTCCGAAGGAAAATTTGCAAAGAATTCCATGTTATGTGATTTTTCAAATTTCAGCTTACATCGTGTTTTTATGTGTGAAAGAAATTTAAAGAATAATTAAATTAAAAATTTACGTAAAAACATAAATAATGAAAATAACACAATATCCTTGGAACGTGAGATGATTTGAATTGTTTTATTCCTCCTCCTCCGTCGCCTTACTCCCGGATCTGTTTATGAAAATCCCTCGACTGGCTAGTTGTCGGCACTACAATGTTAGACAGATACATGAATTTCTTCTTCTCATTTGGATTTGGTGTCATACTTATGTGGTAAGTAGCCTATAAGGAGTAATCACATTCTCACATTGCTAGAGTTGCCATATGGTCATTTAATATAATTTTACAAGAAATCTAAAATTAAATTTATGGCTATTTATATACGTTTTAATATATTATTTATTTGAATTATATTTATATAATTTTAAACTAGTATACAAAATTCTCGAAAATACCCAGAATTACCAAATTTAATTAATATTTTCAAAAATGTAGTAATTTTTAACTAGAGGGTCTCTCATGGTAGAAGAATATAGGTAGACGCATCGACACAGCTGCTGGGACAATGAACTGTCAAACCTATTTTGGAATGAAAAATATTGATTGAAAAATTATTTAAATTTGTAAAAATTGTAGAAAAACTCGAATTATCATAACCTCCGAATGACGTCGTATAAGAAATCGTATAAAATCTACTTATATTTGAAAGAACATTTAAAATGTTTTTGACATATCAATGTTCCTAAGCATTGATGCATCTACCTATATTCTTCTACCATGGGCTCCCTATAGGATTAAGGCTTGTTTACATATAATAAATTCAGGGGATTTCAATTGTCGGCGCTAAACGTTTGGAAAGACTCGCCCTGATAGCAGACATTTACAGCAAAGTCAAGACATTGTGATTAGAGGAGAATACAACTCATGGTAGAAGAGGTACTGGTATTCGCCTCGACACATCTGCTGGGACAATGTACTGTCAAACCATTTTTGGAATTGAAATTTTTGAATGAAAAATTATTGAAATTTGTACAAATTAAAAAAAAGCTGTATCATAACAACCTCCGTTTGGCGTCATATGGGAAAATATATACAAATCTACTTATTTTTGAAAAAAAAAAACTTTTAAAATTGTTTGACTTATTGATGTTCCCAAGCGTTGATGCATCTACCTGTATTCTTCTACCATGAGCTCAACCTTATGGTGAGAATACATAAAACGTTTTATTGACTAGCTAAAGTCATCGGCTGGCTTGTTCGTAGAGGAACAAAAGAATTTTAGGTTTACTTAGTTCGATTTTGGGCCTAGGCTCCTTTGTTCATTTCCGAAGAAATCAGCCGATGACTCCAGCCAATCAAAAAAGTTTTTTATGTATTCTCACCTTAAGCTTAAACATGCATATTATAATCCAAAGGTGCAACAAATCCATGCCAAAACTAAAGTTGCATAAGCATAAAGAACTTTTTTTACTGGCTTAAGACATCGACTAGCTCCTTCGTAAAAGAACAAAGTCTCGTATATTGAGCAAGTATAAATTATTGGCCAAAATCGAACTAAGATAACCTAAAACTTTACGAAAAAGCCAGTTGATAACTTGAGTCAAAAAAACGTTTTATGTATTCTAAAGATAAATGAAATGGATCTTGGAAAACCACAAATATGCTGATGGAATAACAATGTCGATGAACTGAGAAGGAACTGTCTCAACCGAAGGAGAAAGTTTACGAGAGCTAAACGTAAAGGTCTCGCGAATCTAGAACATGCTCAGTGTAAGGAAACAAAAAATTCATTCCAAATTTAGGTTAAAGAAAGCTAAATAAGTCAATGGGAAGAACTATGGAAGGAAATTAACGGGGATCCATTTGGACTGGGTTATAAGCTGGCTATGAAGAAGCTGAGAGGTCAAATTGCAATTTATGATTGAGTAATGAGCAAATGACAAATATCGTAAACAAAATGTTTTCTACAGAACAAAATATCCTGTCAGTGATTCCATAGAGGTGTCTATAGGGTTTACTGTAGAAGAACGGGGAGCGAAAGCTAAGAATTAAAAAAAAATAACAAAGCCCCTGGATCTGATGGCGTTCCAGCGGAAGACCTTAAGGAGATAAATGAGAAAAGAAGTTCAGATAGTATCAGGAGCTGCACAGTGTTCAATATTAGGTCCTGATCTGGTATGATGGAATCCTTAATCTAGATATGCTTGATAATAAATTTGTAGTAGGATATGCAGACTACATAGCAGCCTAAAATAATGATCCGAACTAGAGCATTGCTAATGTCACACGGATAAAGGTGAGAATACATAAAATGCGTTTCTGAATGGCTTAAGTCATCGGTTGGCTTCTTGGGAAAAGAACAAAGGAGCGTAGGGTCAAAATCGAACTAAATTAACCTAAAACTCTTTTGCTCCTCTACGTAGAAGCCAGCCGTCAGTCAGAAAAGCCTTTTATGTACTCTCACCTTTAGAGCTAGCCATATACAAAACTGAGCTGGACCAGACAAGATAACCCAGTAGAAATCAACATGTATGTGAACAGCTTCACCATTCGGACCCAAGAAGCTTTAAAGTTGAGAACAAATAGAACAAGTTTTTTGCTGGCTTAAGTCATCGACTGACTTCTTCGGCAAAGAACTAAAGAGCGTAGGGTGGGCAAGTAATAATTATAGGTCAAAATCGATCTAAGACAACCTATAACTCATCTGTTTCTCTACGAAGCCAGCAAAAAGACCTTCTTTGTAAATGAACCTTTAGTAGACCACGAGCCATCTCGAAGTAATACGAATCATTTTCCTAACTGCGCCGCAAAAAATGGTAAATTTTATTGCATAATATTGCATATCAAATCTCATATCCAGTGAATTTCATTTGACATATATGCAACGGAATTGACAGTTTAAATACACTAGATTTATTACGTGTGAACGGCGATTATAGTTTTTCAATTTAGTGTAAATAGTCAATTAATACATTCAACCCATGGTAGAAGAATATGGGTAGACGCATCGACACCTCCGAATGGCGTCGTATAAGAAAACATATAAAAATCTACTTGTATTTAAAAACACATTTAAATTTTTTTTTTGACATATCAATGTTCCCAAGCGTTGATGCATACCTGTATATTTCTACCATGGTTCAACATGAATAAACATTTCTATGTAAACGTACTTTAATCAGGAACAAATTGTGTGTGAATTTATAGTATGTTTAAAAGATCTAGTAGTTTCAGGGGATTTGTCAATTGTTGTCAATTATACTTCAAATAAAACCACATAAAGGAGGTTAAACAGCAAAATAGCTTAGTGAAAGCATAATAATGGTGCTAAGGGCCAGAAGCTCATTGACTTTTAGCATTTACTAATTTTTAATATCAATTTAGTATTAAATCATTACGATACGACTTTTGTAAAGATTTTGAATTAAAAGATTGAATAACATTTTTTATTTGTCTTTAAGTTTCATATATGTCAGTTTTGGTGAACATATTTTAATGAAACCACCAAGAGCACGTTTAGACAACTAAATTCGCTCGATTTCAAATGTCAATTCCATAGCGTATACATAAGGTAAATCGTATTTATAAATCCAGTGGATATTATTTGACGTATACCATGGCAGAAGAATACAGGTAGATGCATTAAAGCATTGATATGTCAAAAAAATTTAAATATTTTTTTCAAATAAAAGTAGATTTTTATATGTTTTCTTATGCTACGTCAGCAGGATGCTATTATAATTCGGTTTTCAAAAAATTTTGCAAATTTAAATAATGTTTCATTCAACATTTTCAATTCCAAAAGTAGTTTGACAGTTCATTGTCCCAACAGCTGTGTCCACGCGTCTACCTTTATTCTTCTACCATGACGTATACGCTATAGAATTGACATTTGAGATGGTTAATTTCTTCAAACTAAACGTATTCTAATTGTCATAAAACAGTCGTTTAGCCCTCTGTGACAATGAAATCAGCCAGCTAATCAACTGATAATTCTCACAAATAATTTTTCGCAATAATGCTGCATAATATTTTCAATATCACCATAAATCAATCTCTAGCTATGGATATATCTCAGAATTTCTGTTTAATATTTGAATGTGCTTGTATTGATATTATAATACAAATTTATTTGCAATACAACTACATCAAACAAATTACTGTCACTGCTTAAATTCAAACATTTCATGATTTTATCTAATAATATTCTCACGTGTCCTTGCCCATGTGAATAAATCAATAAACAAAACAGGTTTTTTTTTTGTGGCAGTAAAATTTTCCAAAAATATGAAGGGTAGAAACCCAGTGGTAATAACAGTTTATTTACATTGTAGTGTTTATTCAGAATAAATATATTATTTGGGGTTTGCTACATAAAGTTACGTAGAAGAATCGTAAATTTGTGAAATTCTTCAAAAAAGTTTTTAAAAAGCGTTCTAGAATAGCAAAAAACGGAGTGACATAAATCCTCTGAATAAAATATCCAAATCTTTAGAATTTGTTAAAAAAATTTCTTAATGATCATTTCATTTTTGCCCTGACAGACGGCGATATCTGCGTTTCTTTTGGAACGCCACGGTCGTCGATATTTTCCGTTCGCAGATCAGTGTAATTTTTAGGTAAAAACAATAATAATCTTTCTTGTTTTGTTGTCTTATGTGCTATCCATTTTGATTTTCACGAACGTACGCAGGTTGCCAACAGCTGATTAATTTTAGGCAGCGTTGCCATATAAAATTTGTTTAATGCAGAATAAATTTAGCTCCATTCCGTGCATTAATAATGGCACGAATTAAGTCTCTTAAAGCAAATTAAGGGTGAGAATACATAAAACGCTTTTTTGACTGGCTTCTATGTAGGGGAACAGAGGAGTTTTAGGTTGACTTAGTTTGATTTGGCCCTACGCTCCTTCGTTCTTTTTCGAAGAAGCCAGCCGATGACTTAAGCCAGTCAAAATAGCGTTTTATATATTCTCACCTTAAGCCTTCCATCTGTCTTGAGTATATGACTACGTTTACACTGTCATGACAAGAATGTCGTTTTTGAATATAGCCATGTTTACATTAAGTCTTTTATTATGGTAAAGTTTTCTAAAAATATTTTTTTTGACGTAAAATGGATGAAAAGATAAATAAATAATAAACAAAAACGACATTCTTGCCATGGCAGAAAAATACAGGCAGATGCATCGACACAGCTGATGGGACAATGAACTGCCAACCCAATTTTGGAATTGAAAATTTTAAATAAAAAAATTTTAATATTTTAAATTT